ACCGCCCGCGGGCTGGGCACGGCAGGGAAGGGAGGTAACGCAGAGCCCCGCCAAGGAGGAGTGCGGGCCGAGTTCCCCAAACTGTAGCTGCTGCTTGGTGTTGAACAAACTCTGCTCCCTCCAGCCCGGGGGAGGAGGCAGAGCAGGGGCCAGCAGCCCCGGGGCTGAGCCGGGCCACCCGCAGAGAGCTCAGGGTGGGACTGGAGGCTGGCTCGGCTCCCGGCCGGGGCTGGTTTGCACCATCCCCCAGCACAACGACCAGTTACATTTTCCAGTGTCTCAAGCGATGCTCCAAACCTGACTTGGAACTTCAAGTGCATCAAATTTCAGGTCAGATGTACAGAACTTAAAACTTTTGCAAACTGGAAAGAGCCCCAGTCTGGCCTAGAGCAGAGCTGCTTTTCCAGTCTTAACACCACAGAAAATTGTCAGGGCTCGCTCTGCCATTCAGGTGTTGCCCCAGGTCTGACAAGGGAACATCTCAGGAGGTTCCAGACCTCCTTTGGTTGCACAGGGGAAGAAAAAACACCCCAGCCCCTCATTTCTCTTGTATGGATGAATACAACCTACAGTAAAACTGGGAGACCGGTATTCCTGGCTGACAGCCACCTTCCATGCACCTCGGGGGTCATTATTACGGCTCCGGCTCCCTAAACCTCGTCCTTTGACTCCTCCCACTGTAGGGGAACGGAGATCTGGGAGGCACCGATTCCTCTTTCCATCTCGGCTTCCCCCAAGCTCCACAAAGTGAAACTGGGCTGAAACAAACGGCGACGCACGTACCACTGACTTCCCCCAGTCCCCTTCCAGCATCTGGTGGCCGGGGTGAAGATGGATGCTCAGCCCCTGCTGCTCACTCGCACCATCCCAGCAGGGACAGAAGAGTTGTGGCAGAGACAAGGGGCTGGGGAAGGCCAGGCTGGGGGCGCCTGGCTGCGGGGCTTCTTGCTCATAGCAGCAGGCACTCGTTCCCGGAGTCACCTGAAGGCTGCAGGAAAGGCCGCCAGCCTCCACTCCTGTGCACTGAGGATTGTTTCCAGAACACACATGCACCACAGTAAAATGCCATCTATTTTATTGGTTAATTATTTACAGGAGATTCTTGATATTCACAGTAACGTTAGACAAGTTACCTCCACAAAGAGCAAGAGTAAAAACAAAAATGACGGTCCACTGTAAACAAAACTAGAAATCCTGCTGGATTTGGTGGGACTGGCTCCAGACAAACCGAAAAGGCACTCAAAGAAAAACCACAGAAGCCAGCTGATGAACACAGCGCGGGTACTTTGTGCACTGCTTCCAAGATGATAATCCAGAGGCACAGTGTGTGGAGACCAAACGTCAGGGTACAAAGACAGACGCAGGACATCGCTTTCCAAGCATGCTACATGTGTGGTGACACACGAATTTAATTTACTCAAGTCTCGTAATCATGAGAGTCCTCACCTCCCTCCAAGCACTACTTAATGTGAGTTTAGTGTTATCAGGACAACTTTAAATACAGCCAGCAGAAAGGCTGGGACTGCACCACAAGCATTCAGTAGAAGTCTTCAGTAGGGTGGCCAGGTTTTGCTCAGACTCTGGCAAAGCAAACAGCAACCTGGGCCAAGAACACGGCAGCCGGTGGCACCTGGTGGACCAGGGGGCGGCTGGGACACAGGGAGGTAGGTGGCTTCTCTGGATTGTCAACATTGAACTGAAAGAAAGCGCGGCCAAAGCAGGCAGGGAGGCACGGGCTGGAGATGCCCCTGTCTCAGTCGTGCCTCGCTGCATCAGCGAGCTCAGAAGCACAGAGGACGCAGCCTCCATCCTCTCTCCTTCACCACCCTCCCTTCAGCCCCTGCCCTGCGCGCCCCTCCCCAAAGCCCAGCCTGGGCTCCCACTTTCACTGGGGTACTGCCCGATGCTCAAACCATCGTTCCTACAGGCTGGCAGGGCCAGGGTGGGCTCGGTGCTGGTGTAGTCGCACCGGCACAGCGGAGAACCCCCCCCCACACAGGGACAGGCCTTGCCCTGTAAGGCTGATGGGCTCAGGAAATGCTAACTCCTCTTCCCACAGCCCAGCCTTCCTCACACGGCCACAGCTGACAGTGTGACAAGTACCATCTCCGGAGAAAAACTGCTACCACGTGTGCCCAGGTGGCTTCATCTCATGGCGCATCCCAGACATCAGCCCCAGGCTGAAGGTGGTGCCTGGTTTTCAGCGCCCTTCTGAAAATCCCACCGTCTTCCCTTTCAGCCAGTTCCAGGCACAAAGTGGGCATCCTGAGTAGAACGAAGACTCCAGCTTTGCACCACGCTCTGCACCGCATTCCCTACAACAAGCAGCGGTTTAACAACAAAGCGCTAAACCAAAACTGCTCCTAGAAAACCCGAAGCGTGGTCAGGGCATCACGCGTGCAGGAAGCTGGTTTTGCCCGTGTCCCAGCCTGTCTTGCCTGTGAAACGTGCAGAGCTCACAGCACTGAGCGGGAAGTTCTTCACTGCACTCCAACCTGTGTCCACCACTGGCACTGGTAACTCTTGCACCTCCAAGCTAACATGGCCACCAGCACAATTATTAAGACAAAGAGGAGTCATCTGGGTCAGGAATACTTTTTAAACAGCCCAAGCTGCTCCAAATTTCACCTGAGAAGAGACGAAAGGCTGCTCCTATCTTTTCTTTCTTCTTTTCCCCAGATCTCCTTTACAGGAACACGGTTGTTTTACTTCCTTCATCTCAATCAAGGAATGCCCTCTTCAGCCATTTTAACCTTGAGTGTCATGAAAACATTATTTAGCTCTTGCCTCGTTTACAGAACTGGTTTTTGTAAACTAAAAGTCTAGCTCTAGATCCATCCAGCTGCAATCCAACCTGACGCAAATGCAGGTTCAATGGTTTATCTAAAACTTTTTTGCCCTGTAAATCATTGTCCTGCGTCTACTCTGTATATTTCCATGATTGGGAAGGGAAAGCAGCCGAACCCAAAATATCACTTGAAGCTGAGTAAAGCTGCTGGATACATCAGAAGATTAACACCACTCACCATACTCCAAGGGGCTCGGAGGACAGACTCATGTAGACCCTCCAAAGCACACGGGTCACACACTTGTGTCAAAGTACTGCCTTGCCAGGATGCACCTGAGCGTGTCTGATGTGCAGCACCAAACCTTCCTCAGAGGCTGAGTCCTTCTGCATCAGAAGGTGCTATTGGCCCCGAAAGCCACAATGCCAGGAAATCTCCTCCCCCGGCATTATGTACGTATTGAAAAAAAGAAAAATTAACATCGCCATTTGCACACGTAGGCTCCATCGGCAACTTTGATCTTTACCGACCGTTCATAAAACCCTCACGGATGAGCATTTACAATTTAAAAATAAAACACTTTGTTGTTTTTTTTTTTAAAAGAATAATTTCTACATTTCTGTCAGCCAACTAATTTCAATCACAGCATAATCTAAGAATAAAGCAAATTCTAGCCAAGAATGGCTACCATGGGACCCTCAAGAGATCCCTACACCCCAGCTAGGAACCTGTGGTGAACTCCAGTTGATTTTCTTTAGATTGTTTCTCTTTCAGCTTAGGAATGATCCAGTCCTCGTGACGGCTGCACTTCCAGAGAGCGGTGGGGTGGCGAGGCTTCTGGGCAGCATCCAGTGTTAATGGCAGTGCTCCGTGATATCCACAACAACGGCCTTTTTCCAGCTGAAGAAGAAATAGCCTGTCCCTGCCCCTGCCGCCACCGCGATGCAGAGGTACCCGTTGTACGTCATGAAGATGAGCATGAGGAAGTAGCTGACCACGACTTGAATGACGTGCAGCACAGTCTGCAGGAGGTGAGGGAAGCTCAGCATCTGCTGTCTGAGAACACGAAACCCAAAGAACTGTCAGTGTCCACGCGCATCCCCAAAGAGAAAACTGAGCTCCTAGGCTGACAGGATGCCAAGGTGGGCATGGAATGGCAGAGGAGATAACAAAGCAGGCTGGGCATAGGCTGCCGCAGGCATCTGTCACTTGTAACCGTGTTTTTCCCCACAGAGCTGACTGGTAACAAAGCAAGCATGGTACTTGATGGGAGGACAAAACTTTTAGCTGAGATACAGACTTCTACAAGCTTATTTCACCCCCACATTCAATAGGCAGAATGGCTTCTTTTCTGAGTAGAGGCTTCGACTATCTGTCAACAGAAGGATCCTATGTATTTTCTGTCAGGGTTGCTGGCTATAACACCTAAATTCTGTTCCTGGAAACTCCCCAAACATGTTCGTTACTGCTCTGGGAAAAAAACAAGCTTATCTATCTGACCTCTTGCTGCTTTCCTCCTTTTGTGCCCCATCCTAAAGGGTGGCCAAGTGACTCAAGCACAGCATCCTCCAGTGTCATGCAGTGTCCCAATCTGGAGTCAATACACTTTGCAGAGTAATACTGGCTGCGTAAAGTCTTTTCTGTCCCAGTTTTCACCTTTGTCAGCTGCTGAAGAAATCTGTCTTAGAATAAAGTGAAACTCTTACCCAACAGTTTTGTGCGTCTCCATCAAGATAGTGCCATTGGGACCTGGCACTGGCATGGAGTTGTAGCGAATGCTGACCTGGGATTTACGGAGCAGACACTCTCGGGCAATCTTAAGGCCTTCATAAAACATGGCCAGGAAGAAGACAGCCACAAAAGCACCAGCCATTTCTGACAAAAAAAGGAAACGTTATTGTATCTGTGCAACAAAACACGTTTGCTTCAAAACACGTCAGAAGAGACACTGTGTGATTCAAGAACCGCGTCACAGTGGCTGGGCACGGCGTGCACGCACGTACAGATGGTAACTGGATTTCATCCGCGCGCTAGCTGGAATTTCACCCGTGAAGTGAAACCAGCAATCGCTTTTGCTAATAAGACCAGTCAAATTCTCTACTTGTACAAATACCTCCCTTCTTCTTCCATGCCACAGATGCCATTTAAAACAGACTCGACGCAGCATGCCTGCATATTTTTGGCATAAATAGCGAGGTAATTCCTGAAACATTATCAATTGCAAACCTTTTGTGTGGACTGGACAAGACAGTTTTACTAACCTCCAGGAGTATTGATTATAAGTCCAGAAAACAGCAATGGCACATTCTCATAGCTGAAGTGGAAAGTCATTGCCTGCCCAAAACATAAAGAACATCAAGATGAGCCTGAATAGCTCACCCCAAGACGGAGCTCACAACAAGATTTAGCAAAGGTTTCTGTATTATGACAAGAACTTAGATCATTTCAGTTGGTCACCAGATAGACTCAAAGGAACTCTTCAGTAAATCCAGTGTAACACACACAAGCGAGGCATGGCTGAAGATGCTCCAGGCTCCAGTTCCAGTGGGCAGCTCTTTTAGGCAGTGCCCCTGGGCAGAAGGCACTGTCCTTCGCGGTCCCTGCTAAAAGCGCCTTCTCCTTGCTTTTGGATCTCCTTTTCTCCTCAGCAGAAGCAGCCAGGGATTGGGGAGGTCACTGGGGAGGTCACCCGTGCCTCCTTGGGCCTACCCATGGGCCGGGGCACAGGGCACTTTCTTCTCCCCACCTTGACCTTATAGAGACAAGGGCTTGTACTGTGCCAGCAGACTATTGTCTCCCTACAGAACCTCCTAATATCCTACAGGAAACAGAGGCCTACACACAGGTACAACAGGAGGTGTTCTGTATGAGGCAGGACCACAGCTTCCCTGAGTGAAAATAAGGGCTGCTGAACCTGCATAGAGAATGCTGTGGGGAGACATCAACGATCTCCCGGCCAGCTGGAGTTCATACAATCTTCCCATCCAGGTAAATAATTGCAGTTTAGCATGTCATGACCACAGCTGCACACAGCGTTTTCACGTGTGAAGTACTCACTAAGCTAGAGGAACTTCTCTTTGAACTCCCCTCATTGCTTAATTAAGGTTATTTGTTGAAGATCAGAATTAGGATTAATTTCAGCATCCATAAGAATCAGCAGACATTCGTTACCCCCAGAGCAGAAATTACTATAAATATCTTTCAGAGTACTTCCATTTCTTTAATGAATTTTAACATTTTTACACTTACAAACAAAACCCACACAAACCAAAGAGCATTACAGCCTAGTTCCACAACCCACAGCTGAAACAGAGCCTGTTACTTGGAGTAAGTGAGGAACGGGAATACGCATACATTAAAATGTGTTCAGCCTATTATCTAAGATGCTGTGCTGATTTACTTCCTTCCCTGACAGTTTTATGTGCAAAGTTAATTCATAATCTTGTGTAATTAATCACAGTTTTCACTCGCAGGGTAAGGCAGGGTCCTGTAACTACCCATTGAAAACAAGAGCACCTGACACTTGTAAAGAAATGGCATTTATGAGGAAAGTCAGGGAGCAGAGAACGCAAATACTTTGCTGTTAGATTATATGAAGAGCTTCACAAGGACACCAGTGACAATGCTGGTTCCAACAGCACCACTGGGCATTGTACTGGGCCACGTTCACAATGGGGAAGGCTGTTCTAGTCCTCTCTTCTCCTGCTATGGCACTGTTTACAGTATAAGGAGAAGCAGTGATTCCCGATTCCTTCCTCAGGGCACACAGCTGGCAGGCAAACTTTAACTGAAGGCTTGCAAAACACACTCCTGAGTGTATTCTCACGCGAAAGGGAAATGCATGCTCTCTCCTCTCCTTTCCAAGTTTAACCATAAAGAGCCTTGCTTTATTCTGAAACTCACTCCAAAAGTATTTAGAAAAGGGAGAAAAAGCTGAAAAAGTCCCTAGAACTGGCTACACACAAACACAGATCCTACGGTCATCTCTATGGAAACTCTGGCCAGGATCTCAGCAAAGCTTCAGTGATGCCAGCAGGCACGAGTCTGAACTTGTTTAAATCAAAGTCAGCTAGAGCAGCAGGATTCAGGACCACAGCAGGATTCAGGACCAACGCAGCCCTAACACCAACGTGGCAAAGAGCCCTGGTAGCACTTTGCTCCCCAAACCGAGCGCGTACTTGGAAGTTTAGAAGGAAAAGGGCAGGGAGGTTGGTCGCCGGCAGGTCAGCACGATCCATCATACTAGTGGGCAATCCTCTCAGTGCCAGTTTTTGCTTTTGCTAACACCAACAGCCTGGAGAACTCCATCCATCTCCTTTTCTTGCAGGAAAATGCTCACTTTGCATTTCTGCCTTTAGCTAGCTGGAGAGCAGACACCAGGCTGGCTGCTAGAAAGGTTTTTGCAAGAAAAGACCATTTTGCCAAAGGATCTCCAGCTCTGAAATGCATTTTGTGCTGCGTATCACCTCATAGCACCCCTTCATTCCAGAAGAGCTGCAATGGGGTCTGTCTTTTAACTGGATTGATTCACGCCTTCCAAAGCTAAGTTTAATTTTGGATTCTCAAGAGCATAGTCTTTAAGATGACAAGTTACTCTGAACCACGGACAAGGAAAAGCTCTCTGGTTAATTATGACTTTTCCACTTACCATCATGTGAGATCCATGACCATGTCCTGGGGCTGCCGTTGAGTGCTGATGTTCAGGAGGATGCGTTGTGGGCAACGTGGAGCTGTTCATGTGGTGACTGTGAGGCATCTTTATGACACTGATAGTCGAAAAGGCACGTAGAAAAGTGGGACCCTGAAAAACAAAACCAAATATAAGAAGCAGCACTTCCCTAAACAGATTATGATTTCTCTACTGCTACTGAAAGAGAAAATACTCTAAGTCACTGAGAACTACTGCCTCTGGATAAACTGGAGCATCCTCATGGTCCTGCACTCTGACTACAGAGAACACACAGCAAAGCAAAGCAGGACAATTTAAAGGAGGTGTGTCCCTCTCAGTTTTACATCATTGTATTGCTGCACCATCCTAAACATTCTTGCCGGAAAGGCAGCCTAATCCGATTGAGGTAGAACACGGGGACGAGTGCTTAGCATAAAGGAACAATTTCTTATCTGTGAGAAGACAAAACCCAAGTCTCTTCTCAATTGCAGTCATGCAAGAGGCAAACCCCATTTTAAATTGCATATACTAAAGGATCAGATTACAATATTTCTCTTAATTGACAGTTACGCATTTTATTGGGAACATGTTTAACAAAGAAATTATGTTAGGTGGTACAAGACCTATTACCAGGCAAAGGTCTGCAATAGCCACAGGCAATCCAATTTAATTTCCATGAGCTTTACATTGTCACATCTCCCCTCTAATCACATTACACAAAATGAGAGAAACACTCAAAAGGCTGCCAGTCCAAACCCCTAATCTGGTTACTGCAAATCAGGTATGTCTGGACACACTATGTTAAAAATAAGAGTACACCTCGTGGTTAGATGTGGACATGGCTTCTGCTTCTGCACTCTGCACCCCAGCACAGCTTGGGATAGAACCAGGGACAATTTCTGGTGTGAGACAAAAGGTCACAAACAGCAACAGGAGAGAAAACGAGCTGGGAATACCAGCCAGCCCTGAAATGACAGCATCTTTCTGTGTGACAGGGCCAGGCAAAGGCAAGTCTTGTATAGCGCAGGTGAGACACCACTGAAGGTAAGTGCGCACCGACACTGCTGAACTGGACCCTGTCTGGAATACTGCATACCCTCCCGGTCTAGTCCAGCACTCAAGTAAAGCCAAGTGAAATAAAAAACAAAGTACAGACACTTTGCCAAACTGAAGTTAAAAAAAAAAAAAAAAAAAAGAGGAGATGTACGTCCTTCCAGATAAATCATCAGAAGTGTTTACAACTGGGAAAAAAGAGCTTTTTAAGCTAAAAGACAACATGGCGTTTGAACAGATAGGTATGGATGTGTTCTGGTTGCAAAGGGGAACTGAAACTCCAAGAGGTTTCTAAACTGAAACAGCACTAGCAAACAAAACCCCAATGGCAGCAGCTGATGGTGGAGCTGCTTCAGTCTGTGACAGTGACCTTGTAACTCACCCGCGCAGGAACCACCGGTGGCCCAGAACACGACTGCCTGTGCAGCCTTGCTGAGCACCAGTCACCAGTGACAGGGCGTGATCTCAACAGCCTGTGGAGTTAAACTAAAAAGAGCCACGAGAGAAGTTAAAGATTTGGGGAAGATCAAGAAAGTAAGTGAGCAGTGCTGGGGAAGAACTGAAGAGAAAGAACGAATACACCCTGCGAACCTGAAATCAAACCATGCCCGCAAGCGCCTGTGTGCCCCCAGGTCAGCGGGTATAAGCTACACCAGCAACACACAGCTCAGGTATTTTCTGCATCTCTGTGCAGATGAAGTTTGCAGCCAACCTCTTATTGCATCAGACATCTTCACAATCACTCCCCTGAAAGTTAACTTGTACTATAACCTAACGGCACTAGCTAAAGCAGAATGTATTCCCTCTCCATATTTCTGCTAATATTTTTTAGCTCGCTCTGCCTCTGATTTGTGCTTAAATATTAAGACCAGTAAAACAGCTCAGAAAAATGTTCAGGGGGGAGGAAAAAAAAAGAGAGACACTAATGCAAGAAGCAGCTCACCTGACACAGAAAAGCATTAGCAAAGGATACCTGAAGAACAAATATGTGATTTTCATATAGCACAGTCTTGAAGATCATACTGTTTCAGAGATGAAATGTTCAAGCGCCAGAACTGAAGTCCCAAAATACACACACTTGGGAAAGGAATCCTCTGCCAAGACACACAAACTTCAAATCATCTTTTGCAGCAGGGAAGGAAGAAGAACAGCCAAAGTGCTTTACACCACGGGATCAAAGACGAGCGCGCCACGAGAGGGAAGAAGTAACATCAGAACCTCCCCTCTCCCCCAGCCAAAATCTCGTCTCCTCCCGCTGCTTCTCTCAGTTGACTGATGCACTGCTTGTGCTCTGGATGCAGCATTCTCACTGGTGACTACTGTCCAACTTGATTATTTGCTCATTTTAGGATTTCATGCTCCTGCAGGTTCCAATACGCTCCCCAGAAGCCCTGGCTGTTCACCACGTTAACAACTCCCTTCGTGGTTGGGCTGTGTGCAACTTCTGAATAATTGACCATCCCTGGTCTTCAGAAAGGGAGAAGTAGGGGATGTGTCCCCCAGATATTTACAGTGTGTTAACAAACAACAAGGTCGAGTATTCACAAGTGGCTGCATGTGGACGGGCAGGGTCTCGGTGCAGGTTACGACGAGCATGCGGGATGCCCACCTGCATAGCGCCTTCCCACCCTGCCATACTAGTGGTCCAACACCAAATCCAGCCCCCTGATGCAGTTACCCAGCACTGACGATGTTTTACAAGATCTTGAAAAGAATGGGATATTACGTAGACTAAGAGGGAATAACCTAGACTGAGACACTACAGCTGTCTTTTGTGCTACTAAAGGTAACCAGCACATGGATAAATTTCAGTTTAAACATAAATCACTTCCCATGGAACACCCCAGTACAATCAGTCTCTGAGTTACAACTTAGGAGGTCTCTGCCTGTGCCTTGGTGTAAAAAACAGTATCTAGCACAGCAGCAGCAACAGGTTAAAGGCTGTGTAATATTTCAAGCTGCAAATCTGTGGTTTGTTTGTGCAGACTCTTTAAGAGACAAGCTGACTGACACGGAGCTGTGTGTATCATGAAAAGAAGGGCACTGTTTTTAACAAGTCTGACCCCATACCTGGGGGAAAATACCCACACACAGAAGTTTCTATTATTGCAAATTCTTTAAATAGGTTTAGTCTTGTACAAACCCAATACTTTGGCAGCAGGTATTTTTGGCTGAATGGGTGACTTGACCTCTTGACTGCTGCCTGCTATACATGTTTGCACAGGGAGAAAGAGAGACACTGGAGCAGACTCCTGAACACACCCTGGAGAGGGGACCTGGAACAAACTGTGGCTGCAGCAGGCTCAGCTATTTTGAAGAATTTGCACACCTGAAAGGCACAGACCTCATGGTGCACCTGCCTCGATGCTGCACTGCTACCAGGGATGCACATTTTTTTTGTACTCTGCAGTAGCCTACTGTGTAAGAAAACAAACAGGGTGGGACAGGAGAGAGGAATGAGGAAATTCTCTCCAGGGCTTGTTTCTTTCCCTCTCAGTGCTGTTACTCACATCAGAGAACCCACAGCCTCCATTTCACAACCCCTCAAATTCTTAAGGAAAACAGCAAGACGCAGAGCTCCATTCAGGACTTCTCTTCCTTTCAGCCATCATCTTGGAGCACGACTGACCTCAGCACATAGGCAGGCTTGGTTCAGATACAGGTTTCCAGCCCTCCGCTGCAATGCCACTTTGGCAGTTCAGCAAACCAAGCTGGTTCAGGGAGATACGCAGCCAGGAGCAGGATCTGACAACAAACTTAGCTCAAGTTCAGGATTAGGACTTACTTTCACCTTCCACCAACATTTAACCACTTCTGCCTCATCTCACCCACCAAGAAAGCCACATTCACAACTCCAGGGCACAGCGAAGGGGAGAAAAGACAGGTATTTTACACCAGCGCTCAACAGAAACAATAGGTGAACAAGCTGGACTGGGGAGATGCCAAACACAAAGCAGCCTTCTCAGGCAGGTCTCAGCCATAAGATGACCACCATTATACACAACCCCCACCACAGTTTCCCAGCCTACTGCTTCTGCCCTGTTAATCCAGAATCCTGCCACTCCACAGTAAATCACAGAGATTCTCCTGTGGCACACAGCCTTCCAGAGGGAGATACATCTTTTAATGCAGAAACAGGACAGACTATGGGAAGTCTCTGCCAAGCTCCCAGAAAGTACTTTACAGACCAGCTCGGTCTGAAACACGGTGTGCAAACAGGGCTTCCTCAAAGTCACATTCCGAATGAACGAACTCCCTTTCCAAATCAGAAGTCTAACAGGATTAACAATGGAGCCCTAAATCAATGCCCATTACAGCAGCAAACTCTTCCCTTCAAAACAGTGCCCCATCTTTCCCATGCCAGTTCTGCAAAAGCAAGAAATAAAACTAATTCCACTGGCTCTGCCCCAAAGGACCGGAGCCTCAAGAAACACCGCTCCAGTCTCCTTTACACTAGCTGCTTGTTCAGCAGAGACGGCGCCCGCTGCAGTGCCCGGTGCGCGGCGGCAGCAGGCATGCCAGCCATGCCGCGGGGCTGGCTCCTGCACAGAAGCCTCCAGACTTCTGTCTCGACATGCTGGAGTGAGTCTTACCTAGGGTCTCTCCATCAACGCTTTTGGTAGCAAGAACAGGGGCGGGAGGTCCCTCTCTTCTCCTGAAGAAGTGAAAAAGACTTGGTAAGATTTACTAAGAATTAAAACGAAAGCTCCTGAGAGAAATCCAAGGGAAAAAGATTCAAAACTAGCAAGTTGGAAAGGCAAAGATCTCTTGCTTGCACATCACGTACGTCTCAGTCCTGCATGACACAAAGGAATGCAACATATAAAACACATGAGTAATGGAAAAGGCAACCAAGTTAGCAGTGCTCTACTTACAGCAGCCCAGCTGGCAGACTGTTTGAGCTCCACTGGCTCTGAGCATGTGGTCTCAAGCTCAATCTTTTTTTTTCTTTTTTTTTTTTTAAGTGCTGTAAATGGAGGTGGGAGGGAAAGCAGGGAGTCTGCAGACACTACAGCACTGTTCACTGGCTCTAA